GTGAGAGTGAGTCGTGTGTGTGTGTGTGTGTGTGTGTGTGTGTGTGTGTGTCCCCGTCCTCCCACTTCTGGGAGTCGGAGGCCTCTTCTGCAAACAGTGCGTGGGAAGACCTGATCCCAGACAGGATGAAGCAAGCTTTGGATAAGCTTTTTACTTTAAAATCAATTTTTAAATAAATAAAAAAAGTGGACTAGCTTTTGTGACGTTGCCTTTTATTCCTGCCTATAAAGACGTAGGCAGACGTGGGATTGCACATCATGATGGGGTGCATTTTGCAGTCTTACTGGGTATGTGGGGCCAGTTCTGCCTCATAAAGAAAAACGGAGAAATGAAGGCAGACCTGCTTTGAGACATACTCTGTCATGGGTCTTTATTGACTCACTTGAAAAGCATCCAGGATTCTTTTTTTATCTTTTCTTTTTTTCTGTCTATTCCTGCTCACAGATTTTGCTTACACGGGCCCTCCTCCTTCCGCATCCAAACAGCTTACATATTTCTGATGAGCTTTTCCTAAAGCATTGGTCATCACACAGCTATGACCAGCAGAATCGTTCTCATTGGAAATGAGGTGCTTCTCACATGGGAATCTCTCTGAAAGTATTCTTCAGCTCCGGGAATTCTGCTAGATGCCTACAGTACTGTGAACGCTCTGTCAGTATTTGAGTTCCAAGATTCAGTGATTATTTCTAGAGAATGTGAGTGATTGAAAAAAAAAGTCCTGTTATTTGTTTCAGAAACAAATCTTTAGAAGACAGTTCTATATCAGTGACTATAAGAGAAGGACACGTCTATACTGCCTTAGCTACCTTTCCTCAAGAAAGCCAGTAAAATTCAAAGTGGCGACAAGCTTACTAGTTTGTTTCAGTTGTGCGTTTGGTTTACATTTTAGGACAGTGTTCCTAAAGAACCATGTTGTTGGATTTCTTCCTCCTTCATAGAAAAATGATTGCTAGAGAAATGAAAAGTACAAAGATGTAAAAATAGAATCATCATACAGTTACTCTTACATTTACTATAAAAATTTCTCAATAATATACAATTTCTGCCGAAACTCGTTTGGCTCAGTGGTAGAGCGTCGGTCTGTGGACTGAAAGGTCCCAGGTTCGATTCCGGTCAAGGGCATGTTCATTGGTTGCGGGCACATCCCCGGTAGGGGGTGTGCAAGAGGCAGCTGGTCGATGTTTCTTTCTCATCTATGTTTCTAGCTCTCTATCCCTCTCTCCTCCTCTCTGTAAAAAAATCAATAAAATATATTAAAAAAATTATAATATACAATTTCTACTTACCTCATCATGGACCAGTAACAGTTCACAGACCATCTGTGGATCACACTTTGAGAAGCACCGTTTTAGAGTATTTGTTTACACTACCGGTCTAAATTATGTGTGCCTAGTGCTTCAAAAGGCCCAAGCTCAAAACATCAGAGTTTGGGGAAAAAAAAAAAAAAAAAAAGGGTATTGATTGAGAAGGTAGCAACCAAGAAAAATGGGAGATGTTTTGGTGTCTCAAATCCATTTTAAGAAGGTATAGAGTTCAGGCTTTTTTTATGTCAAGGAAGGGGAAGTGGGAGCGGCGAGAAGTGATTGATTACCAAAGACAGTTGCCAGCAAGGGTCTGAGGAAGATTGTTGACTCTGTTGATCCTAGTTGCTGTGAGTCCAGCCTAGAGGTTCCTGCAAATCTTTGATAAACCATTTATACCTCCCTTATCTCCTTGGGAGAGGCACCTTCTGGTAAGGGGGTGTTTTTTTTAAACTCAAGGGACAAGCAGGATTCCTCTAATGATTAGCATTTCTATATGCTTAACTAAACCGATGCCATAGGCCTGAAGGCCGTGGAACAACGCAGGCTTGATCGGCTTGACCAAGATGGAGTCAGAGAGGCCGATCCTTTTGCTGTTGCATGTATGCACTTGTCTACTCTGTAACACATGTTTAAATGTCTTGGGTCTATTCACATTATGATATATAAAATAGATTTCTAACAGCTTTATATGAGAACTAAGTGCACTTGGAGCTCTTTGACAAAAGCTGAATTTCTCTGAAAGTATTTAGATGCTCAAATTGTAAGCAAATACAAACAGTATACACTGAGTGGCCAGATTATTATGATCTCTGAACACATAATAATTTGGCCACTCAGTGTATAAAAGGCTAATATGAAATTGTTCCCTGGCTGGCCAAGCACCCATGTCCTCTGTCCTCTCCTCCTGGCCAGGCTGGCCAGATGCCACCCATGCATGGATTCATGTACTGGGCCTCTGTAGAGGGCCCCTCCTAGGGAATGCACATGGATGACCTTTAATTATCCACGTGCCTGGAATGCGGAAGAATAGGACCTTCACTTACCCAGGTCTTGATATGCTAAATCCCAGGAATGAGTAGGACCTGGGCACACCCAAAACTCCTTTGATTCTAAGCTTTTCAAGGAAACCTCCGTTTATTCTTTTGGAAATAAATGCACAGTGTTGTGTGTGGTGAGTGGTTGACTGTCTCTCCATCAGAGTGACAGCCCCCACCTGGGTCCCAGCTTGAATCTATTTCTGTGTCTTGGTCTCTTTTTTTCTTTAATTTCTTAATCCCAGCTCCTCCACTCAGGAACCTGTCGTTTTCCGTGTGGGTCGAGGAAAACAGAGAAACAGCCCCCCACAGCCCTCTAATATAATAATCTGGCCCCTCAGTGTCATTGTGAACACAGTTCCCTGTTTCAAAACACAGCGGTCCGGTAGCACTAATAAGTGCATAAAGTAGAAAGTGTTTTGTAAAGTGAAACGAAATCACTTCCTCTCGGATTCCTGCTGACGTTTAAATGGACACAGACACTTCAGATAGGAAATGTTCTAAGCAAAGTACATACACAAATGAGACTCTTAGCATTGCAGAGCAGGAAATGTTTGTCGCATGAGGCGTTAGGTAAGCAAGCAGTCACTATCTTACCTCCCTTGCCTTAGGGAGCAATTCATTATGAGACTGGTCTTTGGTTCTAGTGATCGACAGACATTCTCTTAATGTTTATAAAATGCGGACAAGTGTTTCACACAAGGAACTCCGCATTTTCATGAGCACTAACAGATTCTCGAGCCGATTCTGACACTGACGCGTTGCAGCTGTCTTCGTGTTTCTCTCCCCGAGACGGGGGCACGGAGAGGTAGCCACCTCCGGGGGGACCCGAGTGCCAGGCTCTGTGCCCACCTGCACGTCTGCCCGCCTCCGGGGACGGCGCGGCCTTCGCTCACAAAGCGTTGGGAGGAGTTTCTGAAGTTTTACTGTGGCGGGCTTTATTCCCTTAGGATGCGGCTCATAATTCAGAATGATAACGAGGTGTAGGAGAAATTATTCAGCCCCTGGAGGGCCAGGCTTTCTTCCCGAGGGACCCGCTGCCTGGCAGAGAGCCCAAGACAGCATAGATGCGAAATGAGTTAATGAAGGGGTTGAACAAGGTACCGTCAGAATCGGCTGAAACGATTCGGTAAAAGGCCAGTCGCCGTGAGAAGAGAGATGGGATAACCGCAGAGCACGTGCTCGTCCATGAAGATATCAGAGCGAGCACGTGGCACTGAGGAGAGCGTTCCCACGTGTCCGTGGTCACGTCTGCAGAAGGCGAGGGAGCAAGCACGGCGTGGCCCAGAGCCCGCCCCCCCGGGCTGGGCGGCAGGGGGACAGTCGGAAATGAAGGTCTCTGAGGCAAAGGCCAGTGGACTCGCGCTTGTTCTGCTGAGATGGGAGAGGTTCTGAGAGGAAGGGGCAGCCAACTGAAGGGGTCCTGACTGGGGCCAGGGCAGGCAGGTCCTGACTGGGGCCTAGGCTGTGAGCATCCCCCAAAGCGAGCAGGAGCTAAAGCCCCACCCACTCCCAAATGCTCACCGTCAGCTATGATGAGAGTGCTGATTCTTTGAAATACGTGTGTGTGTGTGTGTGTGTGTGTGTGTGTGTGTGTGTGTCTGGACTCACAGTATTTTGTTATGAAATGCCTCGAGTATCCAAAGAGCAGTGCTTGATCATCAGAGCACATTACTTCCCAATCAGTCCGCTTGCATTCAGACCTAACTGTATGCAGCGACGCTGAGCCCCGGAAAGACTTGGGCAGGGAAAACCCACCTTCTTCCACTGGATTCTGGACTGGCAGCCTAATCACTGTGGTCATTTAGCTCGGGCCAAGTGCCTCCCCACGTGTCGCCAGACAGACAGAAGGCCTCTGTGCACAATGAGGGAGGCAAAGGCGTTCTGGAAGCACACGCGGTTCCACCGACACGGTGCGTGCTCCCTCCACGCGGGCTCCTTCCATCGCCCAAGATGTGTTCACGCCGTGACCTGCGACACCTTTATCCGTCTCTGGGTCATGGCATTGTGTTTTCTTGGGCTTTAAAAATAAATCTGTTTTGGGGGGAGGAAGAGTGAGCCTGCATGGTATAACGCCAGGCAAGAGCAGGAGCTGAGAAAGTAAAAATCACGGTTTCCATGGTAACTAACTTGTCCCGGTCCTACACATTTCCCAGGAAGTACATTTACCCGGACCGCGTGGTGACAAATATTGCTCTGCGGGCATGCAAAAGCGGACTTTCCAGTTCTCTGAACCTCGCTCCAGTCTTCCCCCAATTAACCCATTTGTTCCAGCAAAGCCCGGGCGAGGAGCTAGCAGAGGTCCACGTCCTGGCCCAAGCCGGTTTGGCTCAGTGGTAGAGCATCGGCCTGCGGACTGAAGGGTCCCAGGTTCGATTCCGGTCCAGGGCACGTACCTTGGTTGCGGGCACATCCCCAGTGGGGAGGTGTGCAGGAGGCAGCTGATCGATGTTTCTCTCTCATCGGTGTTTCTAACTCTATCCCTCTCCCTTCTTCTCTATGAAAATATATATGTGTGTGTGTTCACGTCCTGACCTCCGAACCGGCGTATTTTATTTTATTATTTTATTTAATTTTAATTTTATTTTATTTTATTTTATGGCAGCAGTAAGTTTCCCCGTGACTCACTCCCATTTCCTTCCTCTCCCCTCCCGCCAGATTTATGTTGGGCAAAGGAGGCAAGCGGAAGTTTGATGAGCATGAAGATGGGCTGGAAGGCAAAATCCTGTCTCCCTCCGACGGTCCGTCCAAGGTGTCGTACACCTTACAGCGCCAGACTATCTTCAACATTTCCCTCATGAAGCTCTACCAGCAGCGGCCGCTCAGCGAGCCCAGCCTGCAGCGGACGGTGCTCATCAACAACATGCTGCGGCGCATCCAGGAGGAGCTGCGGCGCGAGGGCAGCCTGCGGCCCGCGCCCGCCGCGCCCGCCGCGGCCCCCGCCCCGCCGGCCGGCCTGGGCGGCTGCCGGGAGGCGCCCCCGCCCGCCCCCGGCCCCGCGGCGCCCCCCGGGGCCCCCGCCCCGCTGGAGGCCTGCCTCACGCCGGCCTCGCTGCTGGAGGACGACGGCGGCGACCAGGACACGTTTTGCACTTCCCCGGCGGCGGCGGCCGTGCAGCCCGCGGCCCCCGCCAGGCTCCCGCCCCCGGCGCTCCCGCCGGAAAAGGACAGCTTCTCCTCCGCCCTGGACGAGATCGAGGAGCTCTGCCCCACACCTACCTCCGCCCAGGCCGCCGACGGCTCCAAAGGGGGCGCCCCCCCGAAAGCCGACGGGCTGCTGCTCCCCGAGGCCCGCCCCGACGACCCCAAGCTGATGGACTCCCTGCCTGGGAACTTCGAGGTCACCACGTCCACGGGCTTCCTCACGGACCTGACCCTGGACGACATCCTGTTCGCCGACATCGACACGTCCATGTACGACTTCGACCCCTGCACCTCGGCCGCGGGCGCCGCCTCCAAGGTGGCCCCCGTGTCCGCCGACGACCTCCTCAAGACCCTGGCCCCCTACAGCAGCCAGCCCGTCGCCCCGAGCCAGCCTTTCAAAATGGACCTCACGGAGCTGGACCACATCATGGAGGTGCTTGTGGGGTCCTAATACCCGGGAGAGGGGGAGGGGGGTGCACCCCCCTCACCCCCATCCCAGGGACCGAGACCGAGCCCCGGCCCCCTCCCGCCCAGACCCTGCGAGTGTCCCCGCGCCCCGACAGCTCTCCGCACTGTGCATGCACCCTTGCTTGCCTTTTTTCAGAGGAGAAGAACGTTTTACAAAAGGATCACACTAGGTTTTTTTTTTTTTTTTTGCTTTGAGCAGCGTTGGAGTGCCTTCATCCAAGTATGACCACTTTTAATACACTTTTTTTTTTTGTTTGTTTGTTTTTTTTTTGTTCAAGTGGTTCCTCAGAGACCTCCTTCCCCGGGAATAGGGGAGAATACGTTTGAAGACAATGTCGCTGTAATGGAATGGCAAACATAAACAGTTCAAAGCGAAGCACAAAGGAATAAGATGGGAAAGCTGTAAATTGCATGTGCATATTTGTCTATTTTTTCTATAAGTTTTATTGCAAGAGGTAAAACAAAGGAAAAAGTATATATATATATAAATATATATATTATTATTATTATTATTTAGATAATCTCAGTACCTTTTCTGGCATTTTCTGCCCTGTATAGGTTGACTTGGCAATTCAGCCTTTTTAGAGGCATTAACTCCTCGTAAGTGTTGCATTTACATGGCTGTTTAGAAAACTGCTGCCCAAATTTATTTTATATTTTTGTACAGATTCTGCAGTTTATGATATTGTTTTTCTAAAAAACAAATGCTGTTTATACATATGAGATAGCTATTTTGATAGGATTTGCTCACATAGTTCCTGCAAAACTTCAGATGTACAAGTTGCACTTGTACTTTTATAGCATTGTAATGTTTTATATGTGTCTGGTGCAAAGAGAAAATTGGATCAAATCAATCCGCAGTTGACGTCCCCCAAATGCAGACACGAACACACACACACACACACACACACACACACAGCGCTTTAACAAAGGGCCAGGCACTATCACACCCAAATTTCACAAGCACCGGCCTCCTGGCATGCACGCCCGCCAGCACTGTGACTTCCAAAGCCAGAGCCACATCTGCTCATCAAACTTGCATTAAGCAGTTGGCGGGAGGTGGCTGTGGAGCTCGGGGGCTTAAGTGATGGTTCTCTTTCACTCCCTCTCTTGAGGGGAAGACTACCGAATCCTCACTGTATTTATGCCAAGTTTGCGCTTTTAATTGTTTTTATTTTCGTTTTTTAAAAGAACAACAAAAAAACCCCAAGTCTTTCCTTTTTTGGCGTAATTTTTACGATGACCTGAAATTTTACACGTGAACAAAATTTTATGAAAAGCAACCCACCTCTTCTTGGAACTAGAAACCCTTTTGCATTGCTTAGGGCTCCTAGAAGGAAAAAAAAAAAAAAAAAAATCTCCCCCAGAAGGCATCCATCATGTTGCCCGATTGTCTTTTCCAGCTTCCCTTCCCCAGAGCTTTCCTTCCCCACCGGTTGCTAAGTGCTGAAAATGGCATCTTCAGGATCGATCGCCAAGGTGAGCCAGCTCTGCTCACCTCGGCCCAGCCCGGGATGCACTCTTGAAGCAACCCTGGCCCTGGAACCAGGAGTTGGTCCCATTATGTCACAGCTTCCAATCTGGTTGCTTTCTATAATCAGCTGCTTTAACCACATTTTACAAGGCTGTTTTACCCCAATTACACAGGACTTTCTATTGCATGTTCCTCCACCTCCTCCTCCCCTCGTCACCCCGAACCAGGACACTTGAGAAGTAGCCTTTTATTCCTAACGGTGTACATTTAATTTTGAAATGTTTGCAATGTATCACGCTTGTTGCCGACATTGTTGATGGCCTTTTTTCCCCCTTTCAGTTGTTTTCTTTCTTCCAATGGTACTTTCGCTGGTTACATCCTATATTTTTGAAATGCAGATGGCTTCTTTAGGAATAACTTTTATATTTATTTAAGAATTTTTAAATTATGGGATTTGTGTTGTTGTTGTCGTTATCTTTGTTGTTAGTCTTTTGTCCATATTCAGTCACCCAATTCTGCTCACTTCTTGCCATGGATCAAATTGAGTCTTTCTGGCCAATTAAAAAAAAAAAAAAAAAAAAAAAAAGACAGCTTTATAAAATGGCACTTTAAACAAGCCATAGATAGTTTTATTTTTATAATGCACATGGCAGAACAAATCCATTTGTGATGAAGGAACTGCTCATCTAAATCAAAAGATTCATCGTGTATGGTGTGATTCCATCTACATTCTAATTTATTTCCCCGCCCCTCTCCCCCCCCTCCCATGTGAATGTGTTTTTAAAGGCTAATTGAGAAACAGATCCAATTGCTCTTGTTCTCCTACCAGCAGCCTCCACCAGGACACCTTGTATTGCTACACACGTGTCACTTCCTGTGATAGGACCAGGGACCATATATAGGTGAGGGGAGGGTTGCTTCCAGTGTCGCTGGGCCTGTCCGTCTCAAGAGCTTCCTTTTTCTGTGGAGAACAAGCCAGCCCAGAGGCCCCGCCTTTGATAACTGGAGGACCCGGCGAACTCCCCCCACGCTGCACACTCACACACAGGTATACATACACATGTCTACATACACCATAGTGTTGATTATTCCGAACAATAACTAGGTAAGGGCGGTTGATTTGCCATTGTTAAGAGCTGATTTACCGTAACTTGGAACAACTGTACTTTGGTTGGATTAGCAAACGGTGTGCTTAAACAAATCCCATGTGTTGGGCAACAGTTCACATAAGCACAGCGAAGTGTTGCCCTAACGTGGTTTCTCGGACTTTATAATGTTTGTAAGGCTGGGTCTTGAAAAATCAAAACAAAACACACCCCAACATCAGGCAAATGCTTGTCGGCTCTGGACACCCTTGCCAGAAAGGCTCGATACTCATGGTCTTCTGAGGAAGACCTGGGCAGTCGGCGTTGTGGTTTAAAAAGAACAAAGCCATCCAGTGTTCCAGTTATCTCTCCAAAGCGCTGTCTGAAACGGGGAAGCGTGCGAGCCCGTGTGCGATCCGCACGTCCCCGTGTGCGAGCGGGACGAGCCTTCCCCCACCCCGCGCAGTGGGCATCGCGAGGCATTCGCAGTCGGGCAGGCAGTTGGAGGTGCCCACACGAGAAAGACACGCCGGGTGGGGCTGGTCGCGGACACCCATTGACAGTGATGTGCAATGAAGTGACAAGTTGAGAGCAGAATATTAAGAGCTTTGAATTTGAAGTGATTTTTTTTTTCCCATAAGTTATTTATTCCTTTTTTTTTTTTTTCTGTGTAAATATATTTATTTTACTGTGGAGCTCTAACAACATCTGGATCGTAACATGTGCAGAATGTATGGTAGGAATGTATTCTCTTGTAGGAATGTCAATCTGTATTTAAAAAAAAAAGGGGGGGGGGTCCTAGCCAGGCCCCCCGAGTTGTCTCATCATACGCCCAGTCTACATTCATTTGTACTCTCTTCTCCAATGTTGGGTCTATTTGAAATATGCAAAAAGGTATGGGTGAGGGATGTTTCAATACCTCCAAATTTTTAAAGAAAATCAAGCATCAAAGGATTGATATTTTTAAATGTTTTGGGGTTTTTTTTTTTAGTAGCACTTTCTCTCTGGGACAAAAGGGGCAACCCCACGACACCCTTGCTCACACCGGAAGGTGAGAAGCAGCCAGAGCCTCCGTTACTACACCTCCTACACCTGAGTGTCTTTATCAATTGAACTTATTGCCATAGCCCCTTGGCGTTACCCCAACGGCCCTGAGGTCAATCAAGGAAAATTTCTTACCTAAATAAGCCCCAAAGAGCCAAAGGATCAACTTACGGATCGTTTTTAAAAGCTTAAATTTATTAACTATCTTTGTGGCAAACAATGAATTATGAATACCCCTGGGCAGTCTTCTTAAATGACAAATGTGTTTAAAAAAAAAAAAAGGAGATTCTACCTTGAGTAGCGATGGGATATTTTACATGAATTGTCTTAATTTAAAACCCTTGCTGTTAACAAATTGGGCCTTTCTACCTAAAAGGAAGATATCCAAAAGAACAGATCTGACCTATTCTGGTTAACTTCCTGTAATTGGAGACACAACAGCGAGGTGTATGTTGCTGCTTGTGTGCTTGTGTACCATTGTTTTCAGAGCTTCTAAGAATGAGTCTTAAATGTTTCTTGGAAATTTAGCCAGGATCAAATGCTATTGCAGACAAAGCCATTAAAGATTTTTTGGACATCTTTTGGGGATAATAAAGTTTGGAAGAGAAGTGCAGTCCATACAAGCAAACAACCAAGATTTTGGAAAAGATGTACCGAGTGAATTTGGTGCGTGGTTTTTTGAGGAGGGTTTCTGTCTTAACAAGGAAGTGTAACCTTTCCCCCCTACAGACCTGAGAGCTGTGCCTTTTCTATGCAATATTACAGACGTTACATTGGAACCCAGATGGCTGTATTCACATGTAGGTTTGGGCTGTAATCGAAACAATTGGACGGATGAAATGTACATGGACATGAGCAGTCTTACTTTTGTAGTTTTATATTATACAATAAACAGTTAAAAGAGGACAGGTGTGTGTGCAGCTTCCTTCTGACCGGAGTGTGACCAGCTCCGGACTCGGCCTGGCCCGCAGCTGGTGCTGGGGACCTTCTCTCCTGCCTTGGTCTCAGGAGGACCTTTCTCTCCTCGCCCTGCCTCGGGGGCCCTCCTCGGATTCCTCATTCTCACTTCTCTCCCTCAACTCTCTCTCAACAGTTTTTCCCCAGAGTTTGGGGAGTGACCAAGGTATTGAGCAGAGCCTCCACTCCTGCTGGTTTTCCTAAGGGAATCTAGTCCACCCCGGTGTCTGAAAACTTGTTTTCAGGTCCTGTCTCCTGAGCTCTGGACTGAACTATATACCAGACTTGGTGTGTTTTAAAGCAGCCTCCTTTCCCCCATGGGGCCTATTCTTCCCCTCTGGGCCTCTGTTTGGCCTCTCCACCCTTCTCCCCGGCCTAATTTCCCCCCTCCCCTCACCCCCAACCTCTTCTCCAGCCCAAGCCACATTCTGTTCCCCAATGTCCGCCACTCCCCACCACCTACTTTCCATCTCCACCACAGCTTCCCAGGAGGGGGCCTCTGGCTATTGCTCCTGCTTCCTCACTGCGCTTATATGTCCTTCCTTGATGCTAGATTGACATCCCTGAGTGCCGGTGGCTCAGGCATTTATTTGTTGCACATCTTCCAGCAGCCCCCCCCCCCCCCCCTCTGGTTTATACATCCTGGCCTCCCCCACCTCCTTCCAGAAGCTAATGGAGGAGATCCAGAGCAATCTCCTTGGCAGCTGGGACATCTCCGATGGGCCTGTGGCATCTAGCCTTACCTAGTCCAGGTAACTCTGGCCACCATCCCAGCTGGTGAAGAGATGAAGGAGTGGCCCAGGAAATGAAGGTTCCATTCAATCAGCAATGGAATATGGGGGAGGGGGGAGGAGGGTGTTGGGAGAGGTGTTCTGGGTTGAACTGTGTTCTCAAGACAAGTTATGTTGAAGTTCTAACCCCCAGTACCTCAAATCGGGACCTTCATTTGGAAATAGGGTATTTACAGAGATGATCAAATTAAAATGAGGTTGTTGGGGTGGATGGGCCCCTCTCAATATGGCTAGTGTCCTTAAAAGGGGGGAGCAGATAGCAACACAAACCCACAAGGCCAGCGCCCTGTGAAGATGAACACAGGAGCCGAGGTAGTATGTCTATAAGCCAGGGACACCGAAGGCTGCCAGCAGACCCTGGAAGCTAGGGGCCTGGGACAGGCTTTTTTTCTCACAGCGCTCCAAGGAACCAGCCCGATCTCTGTCATCTAGCCTCCAGAGCAATCCGTTTCTGTTGTTGAAGCCACTCTGTTACAGCAGCCCCAGCAAACTAATACGGAGAGAAGAGCAGGAGGAGTCTTTCCAGACCTCCCAGGAGAGAGACTCATCAGGCAGCAAGGAATTATTTGTTGCTCCATAGAGCGGACTCTGGAATAGGAGCAGCTACTGTTCACTAGACATGACGTTAGCAAGTCGTTCAATTTCTCTGCTTATACAGTGGTTCTCAACCTTTCCAATGCCTCGACCCTTTAATACAGCTCCTCATGTTGCGGTGACCCCCAACCATAAAATTATTTTCGTTGCTACTGCATAACTGTAATTTTGCGATGGTCTTAGGCAACCCTGCCAGTGGCTCTCAAGCTGTGGGGCTCAACCCACAGGTTGAGAACCGCTGCTGTAGAGCCTAAGACGATCAGAAACACAGATATTTACATCACCATTCATAACTGTAGAGGGCCAAACGGGAAGACACCTGGACATTCTTTAGATTGTTGTTGACTGGGCCGGGATATTGGCATAGTCATGTCAGTTGCACTCCCGCCCTGGGAGTGTGGAGATGTTCTTAGTTCCTGGCTTGTGTTTGTCCAGGAGGAAGGAGTGGGTGGGACCTGGGCCCTCCCAGGCTCCTTGTTTTCCTGTGAAACCCCTTGTTGGATTGGAGTATAAATGCATGTGGCTCAGAAGGTCGTCAGTCAGTCTCTCCAGCAGAGGAGGCCTGCGGCCCTCCCAGCTTTCAGCTCTCAGCTTAAAATCTATCTCTGTGTCTTCTCTATTTTTAATATTTCTCAATCCCTGGGCACCTCCACTTAGAAGCGGTTCTTTCATCTCTCTTTCCATGCGGGACATGGAAAAGGGAGATCCCTGCAGCTTCAGGCCCTCGCACATAACAGTAGCAAAATTACAGTTATGAAGTAGCAACAAAAATAAGGTTATGGTTAAGGGTCACCACCACATGAGGAACTGTATTCAAGGATCAAGGCGTTAGAAAGGTTGAGAACCACTGGCTTATGAGGACAAGATAAAGTCAGACCTAAATCTCTGCAAATGCTGACAATGCAATAAAAATGAAAGTTGCAGATCTTCTCTATCTTCTTGTGCCTACACCTGTGCCTAGCACATAGGAGGCACTCAGAACATTTGTTGAGTTAAATGAAGAAAGAACCCTTCTCTAGGGCACGAGAAAAGCACAGAAGTCAGCCTTCATTGTCTAGGTCCCAGGTCCACCCCCATCCTGACCCTCTGGAGGCCCCATTGCCAGCACACTGCCTGCCCTGGCGGATGCCCATGCTTCTGCTTGTGGAAATTCTACCCATCACTCCACGCCAAGCTCAAGTGCCCGTCCACATCCCCAAGTCAGAACCCACCTGGTCTCTTCTGGAGGCTCTACAGTTCTGCAAACACACTTAGCAAGTCCTGCCAGGTCTTAGGTTAGCTGCACACCGTTCATGTCCTCTGCTACCCTCGGCCGCTCCAAAGAGCAGAAACTCAGATGTTCATCATTGCCACAGGTCAGCAAGCTATGGCCCTTGGGCCAAATCCTGTCCACTGCCTGATTTTACAAATAAAGTTTTATTAGAACATGGTCCCGTTCATGGATTTGTGTACTCTCTATGGCTGTTGTCCTGTTACAATGGCACAGAGTACACAGGCTTGATCTCAAAATCTAAAGTATTTGCTCTTCATCCCTTAACAGGAAATGTTTGCCAAACCCTGGTCTTTGTAAACCAATGCTTAAGACAGACAGTGTCTGGCCATGGCTGGGCCAGGCCACGGTCCCTGTGCTTAGGGGCTTCTGTAGACTGGACAGGACACCCCAGGGAGGTGGGCATAGTCCAGGTGTTGGAGGGGACGGTGTGGGGGCCAGAGAGGTGTAACAGTCAGAGAAGTCACATACAAGGGGACATCTTAAAAGAACTTGGGACCAAGAAAGAGGCTTAGACGTGGAACTGCTGGCCAGAGGGCCCCATTTTACAGATGTGAAAGCTGAGACCCAGAGCGGGGAAGTGATTGTCGCCTAAGGCAGTGGTCAGCAAACCGCGGCTCACGAGCCACATGCGGCTCTTTGGCCCCTTGAGTGTGGCTCTTCCACAAAATACCACGGCCTGGCTGAGTCTATTTTGAAGAAGTGGCATTAGAAGAAGTTTAAGTTTTAAAAATTTGGCTCTCAAAAGAAATGTCAATTGTTGTACTGTTGATATTTGGCTCTGTTGACCAATGAGTTTGCCAACCACTGGTGTTAGCAAGACACGG